ATTTAAGGATACCATACCTTCGGCACCCCCTTCGGCACCTAAGTTTTTCTACAGTTGGGGGAAGTGCAAGTGGAATTTATTCATCAAGGACTTCGACGCACAAATTCCGGCATATGACTATAAAAAGCAGTCCACCGGCATTAAAGCTTTCACGAGAGCGCTTATAACTTCGTATCGACGACATTGCCCCCGCGGCATGCAAAAGGACGGTCCCAGGCTTTGGGACGACACTCTCATGGAAGCAGAGCGGATTGCTACCGACAGCAAGGCCCGCTATCTACAGTTACCGACGCCCGACCGTGAGGCAGAAATGCAACGGACAAGGAGTCAATTCTTCCTCCTACTCCGAGAGCGCTTGCGCAACACGTATCTACGCCGCATCAGCAAGTTAAATCCAGGCGAGCCACTCGCATGGAAATACATTTCCGGACGAAAAAAGGCATCACTTCCATCTCCCACATCAATGTTATTGGGAGATGGTCAACACACTTATAAAACAGCAAGGAGAGCAGCGAATGCTCTCAATCGCATCTTTCTTCCATTTCACCCCTCTCACAAGGCAGTTAGGTTTTCCAAAGGCATCAACAGACAGAGTGCATCTTTGAACATTAATGCTTCTTTTCTTTTTGGGCAGCAGAACAACAACGAGTCTGCTGCCTCATTTACTTCATTTTCTTCTACTTCTTCTAGCTCCAAGCCGCAGAACAACAACGAGTCTGCCGCTACTTCTAGCTTAGTTTCTTCCACCTCTCTTATCTCTTGTATTTCTGAGCCGCAGAACAACAACGAGTCTGCCGCTACATTTACTTCAGGTTCTTCACTCTCATCTAGTTCTGAGCCACAGGATAAAAACGAAGCTGCCACCACATCTGGTTTAGTTGCTCATCTTCACTCCCCTCTTGATGCACCTTTTAATCGTACGGAACTGCTTGCTGCGCTACGCAATACGCCGTATGGCAAGGCCCCCGGACCGGATGAAGTCTACAGTGAGGCACTGCGACATATTTCGTCAAAGAGCCTCCGATTCCTTCTTCGTTGCATTAACCACAGTTGGACGACCGGTACGATTCCGGTTGAGTGGAGACGCGCTACCATCGTTCCACTCTTAAAACCCGGTAAGTCGCCGGAACTGCTTGAGTCATATCGACCCATCAGCCTTACCTCCATTGTGAGTAAGGTTGCTGAGAAAATGGTACTGAAGAGATTGCTTTGGGTGTGGACGCCGCACCCCCACCAGTATGCATATCGCAGTATGCGTACCACGACGATGCAGCTGGCACACCTGATACACGAAGTGGAGCATAATAGAAATCATTATTTCCAAGTGAACCTTCCCAAGAAGAGCGGTATTGGCAATCAACTCCACTACAGACCCCATCGGACCCTGCTGGTGTTGGTTGATTTCAGCAAGGCCTTTGACTCCATAGATCATCGAGTCCTCAGTCGCTTGCTGGCTAATATTCCGGGGGTGAATTGTAGAAGGTGGCTTAGAAACTTTCTATGTGGTCGCTACGCGAAGACACGAGTTGGCCACAGACACAGCGATCGGCGTCCCATGCTGCGAGGAGTTCCTCAGGGGTCCGTACTGGGACCGTATTTGTTCTCCCTTTACGCACACCCACTTCTCAATCTGCTGAACGGCTTTGCGGGTATCACAGCAGACATGTATGCGGACGACCTCTCTATTATCGTCAAGGGGCAGTCCCGGGAAGACGCCATTCCCACCGCCAACACGGTTCTTCAAAACACCGCATGCGTGGAGTCAGGAAAGTGGCTTGGCCATTAACCCGTCAATGTGTGAAGCTGCTTGGTTCACACTTTCCACGCACATGGAGTCAGATTATGATCGTGAAGGAAAGTGGCCCCTGGTAGTGGCTGGATGTCAAATCCCAGTCATGACCATGGGGGCGTCGCGAACTACGAAGCTTCTCGGCGTGGATCTCGATCCACGACTGACGCTAAATGTGGCGGCCTCCAAGCAATGCGCTGCCACTTCGCAACGGATATCGCAGCTACGCTGCATAGCGCACAAAGAGGCGGGACCATCTCCACATGACCTACGCACGTTCGTCATTGGATACGGTGCTTCCAAATTACGCTATGGCAGCGAGCTCATATGGGCAGTAGCGACGGATTCAGCGAAGAATGAGATGCAGAAGACGTACGCAACTCTAGCACGCATTGTCAGCGGAGTTCCGAGCACTGTTGACCCGGAATCCGCGCTACTGGAGGCTAACATGCCGCCGCTCCACGTCCTTTGCCTGCGCGCGCGTCTCTCTATATTTGAGAACACACGCGCATGTCAGATGGACTGGATGCGGAGAACCCCGCCTGAGCCACCGCATCTCGCCATTATCTCGAGACGAGCTATATGCCTTCGTAGACGCATACACAAAGGACTACGGCATCACCGAGAGCTCACCACGCGAAGAGCGGTTCTTTCGCAGCTCCATTCCTCCCTGGTTTGCGGCCTCCGCTCACCGGGTCACCATCGGCGTGGAACTTCCGATAGACCACTCAATAACTTACGAAGAAGAGCTGATAAGGGAAAAGCGCAGAGTCAGCGAAGAGGCTCTGGCGCTGCACAGCCATCGTTCGTGGATACTTGCGACCGATGGCGGTGTCGACGTTCCCAAGTCAGCAGGGGTTGGAATACTGCTTTCATCCCTCAACTCATCGGAGATAATAGAAAAGGCCAGTATCAACGGCGGTGCACGTCCATGCAGCTACAGGACGGAATCCCGTGCGCTGCTTCTAGCCCTATAGAAGCTGATTGCCCCTCGTATCCGCCACAGGCGTAAAACCCTGCTTGTGGTTACGGACAGTCAGTCTCTTCTAGCGACTCTAAACAGGGGCCCGCTCAGTCAGACAGACTGGACGGAGGATCAGATCTGGCAGCGTCTCTTGACACTGACGTGTGCTGGCTGGTCCGTGCACCTGCAGTTTTGTTACGGACATTGCGGAGTACATGCTAACGAGCTTGCAGATCAGTATGCGACGCAGACTATGGAAAGTGGACAATACACGGAGCAAGGAATCGCACCTTTATGGCATACGGATCTGCTGACATGTTTTACTACCCAGCTCACCAACAAGTGGCGTAGTACCATTCGTCAAGACACTCATCGCTACTTGCTTTGCGGCACAAGGCCATCAGATCTCAGCGGTAAGGACCTAATCACTCAGGAATTTCTGCACCGTCAGGAACTGGTTCACCTCGCAAGGGCAAGGTGCGGGGAATCTGAGCTCTGGGGCCGACTATACTGGGCCGTGAGAGATTGCACGAACCAATGCCGATTCTGCAACATCTCACCGGAACAGTCTGCATATATGCGCTCTAACAACGATCCAACTGCACCGGGGACGGACACTGTTCCCCCGTCGGCGAGGGAGGAAGACGTCTCTCCAGTAAGGAGACGGACCCTCCCACGCCGTCGGAAGGAGAAATGTCCGCACTGTGATTCTACATTGACGGGATTCTCGGGTCTCGTCAGTCACTGTCGGTCATTTCATCCGGAACATCCTCCACCGCTTCCCGAGCTCAAATGTGATTTCTGTGACATGGTTTTCCCCACACGTAGAAGCACCGCACTGCACAGAAGTCGCTGCGCACACAACCCAGACGCCACACGACATCGAAACAGCAGTGCCAGGAGGCGATCTCTGCTGCCGCAGGATCAGCCAGCTTCCACAAGCACGCCAATCGGCCCGCAGGAAACCTTGCACCATCTGCTTCCAGAATGTCCAGGCACCTTGGCTGTGCGCCAGCGGCTGGGCATTGAACAGGACCTTCGCCTCGGAAAGTTCTCAATGGCAGTTGCTTCATAGCAGGAAACTTTTGTCGTTGCTCGACCACCTCTTCAGCACTCAGATGGCATTGTATAGCTAGACGCGCTGATAAGAGTAGAAAAAAAAAAATCAGCAGGGGTCCTGTCGTGGCCATTTTGAAGTCGTACATCGGACTGGGCTCTGCCATTGTGGGAAGCATCCAGCTGGCTTTTTTTGACGGGAGACCGGACCAGTACTTCTATTTTCTGATGGTGCTGTTCCTCGTGACTGGAGCTGCGGGTTTCTTCTTTGTGCTACTCCCGTCGTACCACCTGACTGGCTATGAAGAGAAACACCTGGGCGTCGAGGAAAAGCAGAGACGACTGGCACGCAAATCCGTTTACCTTCGCCAGAAACCACCCACAATTCGCCTCGCGATCGGTATTGCGTTTGTTGTCCTGCTGGTTATATACTTGCCTCTGCAGAGCGCACTGGTTGCGTATCTGGAGTGGGGGAGGACGCAGCGCATCATATTTGCATCCATCTTGATTGCTGTCATTGTGGCACTTCCGCTGATGGCGCTGCCAGTTTCGTGTCTTGAGAGGAGGAAGACACAACGGGAGGAGGATGACTGCAGTGGGATGGACAGACCGGATGCAAGTGATGAGGCGGCGAACGAGCCTGCGGCGGCTGGTGGCCTCCCAAAGAGTGTGGAGACGGACGTCGACTACATTGCGCCGCAGTACCAGACGACCTTTCTCCAGAACCTGAAAACGCTGGAGTTGTGGGCCTTTTTCTGGAGCATTTTCTCCATTATGGGCACCGTGCTTGTGATTATCTCCAACGCCAGCTTCATCTACGCCGCACTTGCTGACAAGGAGGTGGACAACGCCGTCAAAACGCTTCTCACAGTGCTGAACGGGGTGGGAAGTGCGGCGGGTCGGCTAATGATGAGCTACTTTGAGGTCTGGTCGCAGAAACGCAGGGCGGAGGACAGGTTTCGATCG